TGAGGTGGTTTTCTTCACCTTCTTCTATACATATCATTCTTAGGTTTGGTCTTTTCTTGGTGTCCTATATTTTCTGGATATTTTGTGTTAGGGATTTGTTGGGCTTAAGATTTTCTTTTGTCGATATATCTAGTTCTCCTAGTGTATCTTCAACCCCTGAGATTCTCTCTTCCATCTCTTGTATTCTGTTGGTTATGCTTGCCAAGTTTTTTGATTTCCAGCCTTCCTTCAAACTGTGTTTTTTTATTGTCTCTATTTCACTTTTCAACCCTTGCACTGTTTGAATTGTTTCTTGCAACTTTTGCTTTGTCTTTTCCTCCATTTGTTGCGTTTTTTGGTTTGCTTTTTCTTCCATTCCTTGCATTTTTGGTTTGTTTTTTCCTCCATTTTAAGGGATTTTTCCATATCCTCTTTTAGGGCCTCTATCATTTTCATGAAGGTGGTTTTAAGGTCATTCTTATCTGCTTCATTTGTGTTGGGATGTTTGAGTCTTGCTGGTGTAGAGTCTCTAGAATCTGGCAGTGTCATATTTGTTTTCCTGTTGCTGAGTGTGTTTTTGTATTGTCTTCTTCCCATCCCTTCTTCTAGCTGGTGCAGAAAGATCCTCTTCCTGGTTTGGTGGTTAGGGGACCAGAGTTCCCTTTTGGTGGGTGCAGGCAATTCCAATACTCTGGTAGTTCTCCTCTTCTTGGTCCTAGTCCTGATCCTGGTCCCATGGGTGGAGAAGACCAGGAATCTGGGGTGTGTAGGCTCCCACCGAAAGGGGAGGCTCAGCGGCGGTCCCTAGGGAGTCCCCATGCACACTCTGAACTCTTAAATTCCTAGCCATCTCTCAATCCTTTGTGGTTCAAATTCAAGTTTATTGCTGCTTTTTCTCTTGATTAGAAAACAAGTTTTATATAAACAAGTTAATTCTATGACAGTTTGCATACAGAAAATGTACTTATTTATTATTCTACACAGGTGTTTTAAATTCTTACTTGGATTTTAAACATGGATCAGGAGAGTGCCAGTCTGCACTTCCACTGACAGAGAGTCTGGGAAACAGGAAATAACCTAAAAGATATACGTGGTACCCAAGAGAAGAGAAATGAGGCAAGAGTCTCTGAACAGATGGGGAACACGGCGAGGGGTGGGGGAGAGGAGGACCTGGGAAATAGAGAGGGGGAGAAGTGGAAGAGAGAGTACAGGAAGGTCGGTGGGGGGGTAGGATGGGGGAAGAGGGAATCATAGGTTAGAAGACAGATCAGGCACCATTGTGACCTCTAGTGATCTAAACAGATGACACCAATTGGCAAGCTAAGCAATAGTGTAGAGACCACCTTGAATGCCTATTCCTGATAGTGAAATTGATGTCTATAACCATCCTGGAGCCTTCATCCAGTGACTGATGGAAGCAGAGGCAAACACCCACAGTTAAATACTGAACAGAACCCAAGGAACCCAGCGACAGAGAGAGAGGAGTGAAGAGCCAATTGGCAAAGAATGGGCTGGCAAAACCAGCAGAGACAGCTGATCTGAACAGGGGAGAGCTCTTGGACCCCAGACCAACAGCTGGGAGGCCAGCATGGGACCGATCCAGACCCCCTGAATGTGAGAGTCAATGAGGAGGCCTGGGCTACCTATGGGGTCCTGAGCAGTGGATCAGTGTTTATCCCTCGAATACTAACTGACATCGTGTGGCCATAACACAAAGAGGGTTGCTCTCTCTGCCTGAACTCTTAGGGAAGTGCCTGGACCCTACCCTGAATGAAATGATAGACTCTAGATATCCCCTATGCAGAAGGAATTGGCAATAGGGTGGGAGGATGGGGGGATGGTGGGGGGTGCGGGAGGAGGGGAGGGAGAGGGAACTGGGATTGACATGTAAAACAAGCTATTTAAAATTTAAAAAATGTTAAAAAATTCTTACTTGGAAAAGGATATCAGTATTTATTCTCTGGATCCAATTTTTTGGTGCTAATAGTATACTTTAAAATCTCTTCCATATTTTAATATTCCTTATATTATTATTAGATTAAAACTATGAATAGGGGATGGAGAGATGTGTAGCAGTTAAGAGCTCACACACTTCTTGCAAAGAATCAGACTTTGAATCCTGGTACCCATGTCAGGTAGCTCACAACTATCTGTAACTCCAGTTCTAGGTGATTTGACACCTTCTGGCTTCCATAGGCATGTGGGTGCACACACACAATTAAATAATAAAATAAATCTTCAAACAGAACAAAACAGCAGCAATAACAACAAAAGAACCCCTGTCTTGACTTAAGTTATGTGTGATTCATGTTTTTTATATCCTGTGAAGTGTAATTCTAGTGTTTTTACACAGGCTTTTTCCCCTTTGAATTTATTTTAAAAATATGTTTCCCCTTACAAAAATATATATTTGTTTTGTAAGGTGGTGCATATTGGATGAGGACACATGTAGGAAAGTACACGTATATGAAGCCTTTTATATGTGTGCATATCTTATCTACATCGCTGCCATTCTCTCCATTTCTTGCTAAGTATATCCCAATTTTATAGGATGTTTGATTTTTGTTATCATTTCTACTTCATTCATTGTTTGCCATTTATGTATTTATGTATGTATTTATTTAATTTGCAAGTGTGGGGCCAATTCCAGTTTTTTGCTTGTTTGTTTGTTTGAAAGATGTAAGGGGAAGTTGGTTTGCAGAACTAGCGATTCATTTTCTTTTGTGTGAAGATAAAAGCCTCCTTTTCCATAGCTACCACTCCTCCTCCTTGTTTGGATGTACATGACAGATCCACATTCTTGGAGCTATGGCTGTCATCTTGGAAACTCTAGGATAAAATACTGGCTTGTTCAGAGGGGCCATGTGAACAAATTTGAAAAAGCCTGGGTCTTTTGACATAATAGTATTTCTAATCAAGTCCAGAATTATCTCTCTTCACATTCCTAGGTAGGTGAGATGACAAAATGACTAGTGATTGAACCACTACTACTCAAGGATGCATCCTATTCGATGCTGTACTTCCATGTCCTTATGTGAAGGGGTACATATGAGTGTGGTTCCTTGAGGGTGCTTTTGTATATAAGGAAAGAAGTCTGAGATTCAGAAGTTAGGAATAGGCCAGGTGTGTGGAACACATCATTATTTCCAGCACTTGGAAGGCAGAGGCAGACAGATTTCAAGGGTTTGAACCCTACTTGGTCTACTTAGTGAGTTTCAGGCCAGCCAGAGCTAAATGAGACCTTGTCTAAAAAATAAAAGCTGGGAAGGACTGACTGAGTTATTAGAATGAGTCTTCACTTGCTGTTTTCTTCAGTGAATGCAATGTCATTAAACTTACAGAGCTGTTGAAAGGACTAAATAAAATGATTCAAATGAAAGCACTTTGCAGCTGCCAAAGGGATATGTGGATGTGTTGTGTTGTTAGATAGCCTACTGCTCTTGGACTATAGTGTGTGTGTGTGTGTGAGAGAGAGAGAGAGAGAGAGAGAGAGAGAGAGAGAGAGAGAGAGAGAGAGAGAGAGAGAGAGAGAGAGAGAGAGAGAGAGAGAGAGAGAGAGAGGAGGGGTGAAGGTATCCTAGTAAAAGGGACTTTGGTGCATTGTGTTTATGTGAACAACACTGTGCCCTGGTCCTCTTAAGTGTTTTTTTCCTGAAATATGCCAAAAATTCTTAAGCTGTCCCTTCAATGTCCAGTACCCTCTGGCCTCCCATTTTCCATACTTTGAGTGAGATTCATTGTTTCATTTTCCTATTCCTCATCTTGACTGTCCTTGTCGGAAACAGTCTTATCTTGTACACTGTCTCCTTGAACCCCTTCATTGTCACTCAGCAAACCAATGTTGTGTGCCAGTGGCTTCTTGTACAGCAGCTGCAGACTTTTATGGGAGCCTTGAAATGACAACAGGAGTGGGAATTTTAAGAGTTATGGAATGAAGTCAAGTAAAGTGCTTGCCTTCTTGGTGCTTCTGAGAGGCCCCAGCTGGGATGGATGCTTTGATTACAACTACTTACCACTCCACAAGTTCGGACCCTGTTGATGTCCTCTATGTTTGATGAGTTCACCCCTGGCCAGGAGTGGGTGGTTGACTCAGAAAATGTAAAGCTGCTCTTTCTCACAGAGCAAGAATGGTTGATGATGGCTACTGCTGAGAACGCCCTGTCTTAGTGGTTCGAAGTGTGCTCACCTTGGTGTTGAGTTTTAAATTTATTCTGTTGAGTACTTCTTCTAAAGGGAAGTTGATTTTTGTTCTGTGTTTTTTGTTGTGGTGGTGGTTTTTGAGGAAGGATCTCTCTTCACAACCCTGGCTGCCTGGAACTCACTATGTAGGCTAGACTGACTTTGAACTCACAGAGACACACTTGCCTCTGCCTCCTGGGTCCTGGGGTTAAAGGTGTGAAGTTAATTTCAGAGACTGAAGAAGTTCAACAACAAAGTCATGTTCAAAATAGTGACCATGAGCCTTAGGATTTGAAAAATGTTTCTCCAGGTACCTAAGCTTGTCATTGCCAAACCTAAAGTACATATTTCCCTTTGTTTTGTTCTCTTGTGTTGTCTCATTTGTGCCAAGATCGAAGGTCAATGCATCAATAAAAGCAGTAGAGCCAAGTTAGCAAGGTCTCTGAGGCCAGCAACCATGCCAGCCTGTCCATTTTTAACCATGTTCCACCTACAAACTAGGATAATGTCTCATAGTTTGATGCAATGATATAATTCTATTATTTGGTGACTGCTTGCTGAGTACCGATTATTAAATAACTTTAATAGTTCCCAAGCAACCAGGCTTGGACTCAAGCAATGTCTGATATCAGCACCCCTGCTTCCCCCAATTTTTAATGAACCTTTTCTCATTTTCTGGCCTCTAGATAATACAGCTAAAGATAGACTTTTCCTACGTTTTGAAGTTCACTATACACCTCAGAAAATGTGAGAGAATGCAGCCAGCCTCCTCAGGAAGATTAGGAGGGCAGTAAGATAACACAGCCACCTCCAGGCTGATATTTGAGCCCTGCTTTCTACACGGTCAAGCCTTTTGGAGGCAGCCAGCCTATGGCTTGTATCAAACTCTATATTTAGGAAGAACAACTGTGAGCTATGACAGGAATTCTCTTTAACACTTAGCCTTAAACTGAGTTCCCCTCTAGCCCCAAGCCAGGAGCAGCTCTCAGGACTGAAGAGACACAGAGCACTCCAGCTATTTCAGCCACATGAAAAGCACTGGAACTGCGATCCTAGCTCAGACGATAACGGGAGTTCCTTCTACCTTCTAAGAGCTTTGTATTTTCGCACCTGACTGCCAGGGACTGTCCACAGGCAGTAAACAAATCCAGAGAGCAGGTAAGCAGAAGGACCCAGCTTTGGCTGGTAGCTTTCTAGAGAAAATTTCTTTGATCACTAACAAAGTGACTACTCATAACTTTGTAGTTTGCTAAGTAGTGGGTGTAGCTTCTTTGTCAATTCCCCTCTCCCTGGTGGTAACCCTGATTCTATAAAGTGTGTGTGTGTGTGTGTGTGTGTGTGTGTGTGTGTGTGTATTGAACTAAAAGTGTTTTCATTTACAGAAATGTTAGGAAAATGTCCACAACCCAGATATGATAACTGTGACCTTGAAGCTCTGCTGGCTAGTGTTACTTACAATCAGCTGTAGACTGCTAACAGGCTCTAAGCTGAGAATTAATCGGAAGTGTGGGCAGAGGAAAGGTGGAATATTAGGTTTGTGTGTGTGTGTTTGTTTGTCTAAATAAAACCATTGTGAGAGTGTTAGACGGTGTAAGTTTAGAATGCTTTCCTCCTTTCCTCAAGTGCTGGACTTGGTCTCAACAACAAGCTTGTGTAGACAGAATCATCTTTTTGAGAGCTTTGCTTTGTTCGCAGTTTTCCTGTACCCAGCAGGGTAGAGGGCAGCACTCAGTGTCCTTGTCTCCGTGGGCACCAGATTCCAAGGTATGGAACTGCAAAAACTCTCTTTCCTCCCAGCATAGTGAAGTGGTCAGAGCATCATTCTACACCCTCCTTGGGAATTATTTTTAGCTTCAGGATAGAAGATAAATCCCTTTGAGAAAGAGCTTTACTCATTTCTTTGACCTTTCAAAAGAATAAACAAAGCTCTTCATTCCAAAAAGTGATTGATTTTCCCCTTAATCTCGTCTTGGGAAGTTAGCAATATTAATGTTGATCGGTTTTAGTAAGTTGAAGGCTTTTATTTAGAAGCTAGGTATTAGGTGCTGCCCAATTAAAAGCAAATAGGGGTCTGTCATCCATGACTCAGCACACAGACAACTATAAAAGTTCCCACAGTCTGCCAGGAAAACTTACCTGTGCTCAGTTGGCAAGCCTCATCAGTTTATTAAACCAATATATGCCTTGTCAAACTTGCAGTGTTTCAAATTGTAGCCAGATCCAGGAGACAGACGTAGCAGTTGTGCGTTGTAAAAAGTATCTATTTGGATAAAAAGCAGTGGTCCTGAAGTGGGTGGTGGTGAAGTGAGTATAGAAAGCATAGCTTTCTGTTTCCATCCATGGAAGAGGCATGCAGATGTAGAGGGAAGGTGCACTACATTCTACATCCTGATGGAGGTGAATGCTCCGACCAGGGAAACAGCCAGGGAACACCGTCTATTTTTATTCATCACCGGGCTTTGCCCTGATTTCTCTGCAAATAATGAGGACAGCAGGAACTGCTGCTGAACTGATTTGTACAAATATTCTCTAGCCTGATGGTGAGAAATGGGAGCAGGAAGTGAATTGACTTTCTATAGGTGTCTCTATCAAAGATGGATGAAGATGTTAAGAAGAGATTCCTATATCAATGAGACGATAACAAAGCTACATAGGGGAGACAAGGTCCATGCATCTGTTAAGCTCAGAGTGTCCCAGAAAATACTGTAATCCAGTAGCTGGTGCAAACTGTCAGTGAAAAAAAATGAATCACAGACAAAACTCAGTGTAGTATAAGTAAAAGCCTTCATTGTTCTCTGCTTTTGCATTTCAACTTGCTACTGTAATCACATAAGGGCATTTTCCAATCCTCATGATTTAGATTAATATATAGTAACTTAAACAAAAAACAAAACAATGTTGGCAGGCAGTGGTGCCTGTCTTTAATCTGAGCACTCTGGATGCGAAGGCACGTGGATCTCTGTGAGTTTGAGGCCGGCATGGTCTACAGAGCGAGTTCCAGGACAGCCAAGGCTACACAAAGAAACCCTGTCTCAAAAGATATGTTAATTCAACTCTAGTTATATTGCACACACTGTGGTCAGGTATTTAAAGTCTTATAAGTATTATTTTTGCATTATTTTTCTTAACTTTTGGCAAATGTCAAAAATAAAGCCATTCTAAGCATATCATTTTGGAATTGAGCTGTATGCCCTAGAATGAATAACAAATTAGAATGGTCTTTATGTGTCTTTGATGCTGAACTTAAAACCTATCATAGAGAAAAATGTATCCTTAATTGTGCAATCTTACTTAATTTTTAACTATATTAAAATTGGTTCTTTGTGGAGCCTTATTGCGGAAGCAGTACCTATATCCTAGCAAAACATTTAGATGAAACTTTAAAAGTTCCGTTATTTTCATGGACATAGCTCCCAAAACTGTATATTGAGATACAATAATTGTAGATATTTTAAAAATAAATGTATAGTTATTTATTTTCATAGAGTAGAAGCTAAAATCTAAAATAAAAAACTCTGCATTTTTGCCAAGTTCTCTGGTCATTCATTTCTGTGTTGAAGATCATGCATCTGTTCTTCTCTATACTTAAGGCTTTGGATGAGCACAGCACTCAGAGGTCACTAGCTGTGGCCATCAGCAATAATGCAACAAACATTCATGTCATGCCCTAGAGTTCAGAAAACCTTGCCAGAGGCATCATGTCACTCAAATATTACCATAACCTGTGAAGTAGGGTCATTTTAGGAAGAGGAAACAGGCCCAGAAATAGTGAATGATACTGCCCAAGCTTCAGGTGATTTGTGTGAAATATTAATACTGCTCTGCATGTTCATTCAGCCACGTGTTAACCATATACACAGCACTCAATAGATAGAACTCAGTCAACTCTTTTAAGGTTCAGAACAGGGAATGCCTTTAATTCAGTGAGTTTTTAACTTTTTACTTGGTCTGGTTGATGTTTAACAGACAGCTATAAAAACAGGCCAGAGCTGGGTTCATTATTATTCTTTGTTCCTTTAGCTCCAACAAACCATAGCCTACATCCCTAGATGGGCTTTGGTCCCAGTGATCAAAGTTAGGTTTCATGTGTTTAAAGAAAGCTGGGGAAGAAAACACTTCTACATTTGGGGTGTCCATTATGTAGTCACAATTCTACTTGGCTTTGAAGATAGTTCTACTGAAAGAAGACAGTTCTAGAATATTCTGGTTTCCATTGTTCTGGAACCTAGGCTCGTTAGCAATGGTTGTGTGGGATACCTGTGAAGATTAAATAACTCAGCTCTTCAGAGAGTCTCCCAGGTCTCTCTGGGAGAAGAGATGTATGTCCTGCTGAGAGAGGGTATTTGGAGACATCTTTGAGTATTCTATTGAGAATGGTTGCCTCTGGTGAACTGAGTAGCTAGCTGTCTTGGCAACAGTTTGTATAGATCAAAAGTTCAGTTTCAAGCTGAGAGCCTCTGAGGCTGAACAAGGGTGTTTTATTCCCACCACCTCTTCAGTTTGCTGCTCTTGGCAGAAGGTCAAGAGGGCAGGCAAAGAGATGATAGGGCCTTTCAAGTTTCTGATCACCTATCATTTGCATCAGGGGCAAAGGCATCTCAGTATATCTCCTCCTGAATGATTTATCGAGGTGCTCTAGTGTTCCCTCTCCCTGAGGCATTGGGAAGGTGAGTCTCCAAGTAACTGCAGAAACTGAGACTGAAAGAATATATGGCCAGTGAAAGGGGCAACTGCCCAGTTGAATCATGAGTTAAAATTCTAATTTATCAAGACCTTGAATCTGAATGCTGCCACCTCTAACAGAGTCTTGTTTGTTTGTTTTTTTTTAGGAATAAGACCTCGTGAATATGTCAAAACAGCCAGTTTCCAATGTCAGAGCCATCCAGGTAAGTAGGTGTATTTGTGTTTTATCAACAACTCTGTGGCTTCTGGTCTGATTCCTTAGTAAGTCATAACAACTGTAGTTGTTCATCTCTAACTGATTATTAACTTTAAGAAGAAAAGACAGTTCCTCCTTATCAGACTTAGGAGGCAGATTTGAGAAAGGACTGTAGAACTGATAGGGTATAACTGAGAGACATAGCTACTTTTGATTGCTCTGAATCATGAGGCAATCAAAGTTCATAAATGAGAATTACATTCTACAAAACATATTAGATTCACAAGAACACATTATGTCCTTTATGAAGAACCAGAGAGAAGTTCCAGAAGGCTCCAAAATAACAATGCATAGGAAACACTACTTAATCTGATTTGATCAGTATATCTGGTATGCATATATTAAAATATACTACTAAAATATAATGTTCCCCATAAGGATATATGGCTATTACAGGTTAATTAAAATATAGTATGTTTGTCTATATAGGATTTTATATGTCCATTGATAGAGAATAGAACGTTACATTTTCATTTTTATAATCAACTGATGCATGGATATGGCAATAGGTCACAATTTGCTTGACTCATTTGTTTCAAATATATCTTTTTGGGCAGGAGGTTTAACTTCAGTACTAGGGCACACAAATAGTATGTGTAAAGATCTGAATTCAATTCCTAGCACTGATAAAATAAAATACATCTTTCTTTAAACAATGACTTAAGTCCTTCCAAAGTCTTCCAAAGCCTTGTGAGTTCAAGTTCATAAGTTATTAATTTTCCTCATGCTATTCCAACAAACCCTTTGGTTGCTTAAACTGACTTAAGTGTCATCCACAAAGAGATAGAGAAGCAGGCATTTTGAAATGTAGATACAATATGAAAATAACTTTCAGTATCGGTTTTTACCCAAGACTTAATCTTTTGTTTCTTTTGAGGGCTCCAAGTTTGACTGTCAAATAGTTCCCAGCCCGAGACTCTGGGTACAATACTTTACTCTCAAATTCCGTTTTCCTTTTGTCAGCACAGAATCTAGCTGTGCTTTCTCTGAAGAAATTTCTTCCCTTTCTGTAATTTTCTGAACGCTGCAGGGCATGCAGTGCTTCTCAAGTATTGTAATTCTAATATACCAAACACAACATAAACACAATCATAAATTGCCAATGGAGCTTTGGAGTGGTCTGTGAATATTTGGCTAGGTTGTGAACATATCATTGAAGGTTTGAGAAATTCCAGTATATACAGCAGTGGGGAAGGGTGCTGGAGAAACAGATCTTTACTTGTCATGACTAATGCATCCCCTTAAATTGATGGAGTTCTTAAGTGGCAGGATGGATACCAGTCTCTGGAAACCTGTCACTGAGCAAGTTCAAGAAGGGACCTATGCATTTGGCAAGGATTCCCTTCCACATGTCGACATTCAGCATTCTGGTATCTCCATCTGATGAGTTTCTGATATATGCTGACAATGGCAGTGGGCATTATTTTGTTGCCTGGATCTGTGAACCTTGAGTCATTGAATCTTCTCTTTTACATGGTATTCAAATAGCAGCTTGGACTCTGAAACAGACTTCAGGCCTGAATCCAGCTTGTGCTGGTGCAGAAACGTGGAAAAGGACTTCCTGCTGTTTTACCCCTCTGGACCTCCATTTTCAAACCTGTGAAATGGAAGTAATAGTAGTTCTGTTTAGGAATTAGCAAATGAGACCTCCAAAATAGCATAGTAAACTACCATTGGAGACCAGCCATTATTCTATTTATGACCACAAGGGTAGTTTGTATCAGAGTTGTGATTGCTGCACTCCAAGCTCTTGAAGTGCTAAACAGAAAATCTCCTTTTTATTTTTCAAAACATTATCAAGCTACTTTTTCATTCCTTCCTTTTAAAGCTAAAAGTGTATTGATTTTTCTTCCTTAGTGCCCTCTGGCTCACACAAATCTCCACTGAAAATTCACTAGCATTTTATTTGCTAAATTTGACCTTGATATATTTTAAGGTCTGCAATATTTAAAAAAGCCACTATTGACCATTCTCAATAGCTGTTATTATGTTGCATTACAAAAAAATCCATACACTTTACCAACAAGGGCAATCAGTGGTTCCTTATGGATGTGGTGTTGTCTCTTTCAATATATTTGATGTTTCACTGAAAGACCTATTTAATGCACTTTCAAATGAAATATTTTTTGTTGTGGCTAAATAGTGTCAGCACTATCTGATATTTTCCGATCATCCTTAAATTAACGTTAAACAGGGCACATTAAACAAAATATGAAAGTAGTGACACAATACAAAATGATTCATAGTAAGGACATTACAGTATGATGTTCTTTGGAGCAAACCTAAAATCTGATGAGAGAGCACTCTGTGTAAATACCATCGGAAGCTCTTAAATGGTCTAATCAACATACTTTAGTTACTTTTATTTTTTTAAAAATACTTTATTTTTATGTGTGTGGTTATTTTGCCTGTATGTATGTTTGTGCACCACATGTGTCCACAGAAGCCTAAAGAGGGAGTCAGATCCACCATGTGAGTCCTGGGAATGGAACCTGGGTCTTCTGAAAGAGCAGCCAGTGCTCTGAACCTCCAATTCTATTCACCTGACATTTTCAGGGGGCATAGTATGTGCCAGAAGTAGGGTACAAAACAACAAATTGACACCTCATCTCTGTACTTGATAAACTCATTGCTTGCAGTATTTAATAACTACATGACTTTGTGCAAGTAGTTTGTCCTCTTTGTCCTCCATCTTTTGTTTATCTGTTAATGAAATGAGCAGCAGGACATGTTTCATAGTGTTTCTGCAAGTATGAAATGAATTTAATACATGTATATATTAGGCCAGTGCCAGAATTATAGTAATTACTTAATAAATGGCTGTTACCATCTATCAATCAGTCTTCACCATCACTATCTACTTTTATCAATTACCAAAGTTTATGCCTTAGAATACCCTTACTTTCACAGGATATTGTTAATTTTGTTAAGTTTCCATAACTAGCTGGGCAGTAGTGGCATATGCCTTTAATCCCAGCATTCAAGAAGGAAGAGGGAGGAGGATCTCTGAATTTGAGGACAGCCTGGTCTATAGCGTGAGTTCCAGGGCAGCCAGGGGTACAAAGAGAAACCCTATCTCAAAAAAACCAAATCAAACCAACCAACCAACCAACCAAACAAGCAATAAAGGAGTTTCCATAACTGTTTGGGAAACTTTTTTAGAGTCCATTACTTCTTAACAGTATCTTATTCTTCTCATGAAGACAGTGTTCTCCAAGCATTTTGAACTTCTCAATGAGCAATCTTGCAGAATAGTGATTTGTAGTATAAATTTCTAACAGCTTAGCTTTAGATCTCTATTATGTTTGGATTGAGTAAACTGAGTCACCTTCATAGGCAGGCAATTTTAAGAGTGTGCCAGCCAGAAAATGTGGAAGTCAAGCATTTACAAGTCTCTGTGACTTTAAGCATCCGTAGTTTACTTTTCTGTAAAAATTGGGGCAAACATTACAATTTAATGGGACTGTTATGATGAATAGACTAGATAGCTTATGACAAATCCCTGGTTCCTAGTACACATACCCCTTAAAAATGAGTCTTCTACCTGTGCAATGTAAGGAACTCAGTTTCCCCATGCCAGAGAAACAGGGAGGTTAGACTTAGGCTCATCTTTACAGAAGTTAGATAGCTGTCTTTCATATTTGCAGAAGATGGGCTTTGAACTGTAAGGGGAGTCTATGTCTACCATTATTCCCTATCACATTTTGTCAGCCAACAGCACCAAAACATTCTGAAGGAGTCAGCCGACTTTTCCATAGACTAGATAAAGTTCTTTAAGCTGTTTGTAAAGTTCTGTATCAGATGCTGACAAAACATTTTCTAGAAAGAACCAGAAAGACAGTAAATATGTTAGTTTTTGAATTGTTTGGTCTGCTTCAATGATCATCTCTGCTATTATTCCCTGAAGCAACCACAGGGCCGTAGTGGATGAATGTGTCTGTTTCCCAATGGCTTGTTTAAAATTTAAACTTTAGGTGGTGGGTTGTATTTGTCCTGTGGATTGCAACTTGACAATCCCATTGTTGATTATAATGGAGCTGCAACCAAGGCAACATCAGCACACTCTGTACACTGAGTCTGTTCCCTTCAGTTGAAAGGATGTGACATGACAGGTGGCAGGAAAGTTAGAACTGCTAAGAAATCTAATGCCATCAGCCATCTGTGCAATGGCTTTTTCTAATGAGACCAAGTGATACCAGCCCTTGGTTGCATCTAATGGCCCTCCTGAGCACACCGGTTTTGGGAGTTCCCACAGGTCTCTGCTCACCAAAACCAGTAATCTCTGGGCTGACATTGCTCCATTCTTTCTGATATTTGTCCTCTCCATTGAGATCTAAGAATGTCATGACTGACTAGAAAAGAGGCTTATCTTCTAGTTGTGGATGTTCTCCATGATTTCTCTAGAATGGTCCTTATGATTTGCAAAAAGAAGATGTTGTGTCAAATAACCTTTAAGGCCCTGCCCAGCTTCTTATAGCCCATAAATCTCTCGAGAATAGTTTCCAAGGCTTTACTTTTGTATAAATAATAGTTACAATTATTCAACTACTGTGTACATGCTACAACAGTGCAGTGTAACTTTCATATATCACAAGTCAGGATTGGAAAAATTAACTTGTACCTAGGATTATCTAGGACTCAGTCGTGACTCATCATTCACTGTGATCCTAAAATGCAGTGTTCTGTGGTATTATTGTGAACTCTTCCCATCCTTGATATAGAAGTGAATGGCTGTGGACTATCTCAAGGATGATACCCCAAGTGCCAAGCCCACCTGAGATGCAATACTTTTTCCTGGGTGACTTGTGTTTTCCTCTTAAAGAACCCAACCAACATTCATAAGTGGTGTCTTTTTAATGAAGATGCTGATAGCCACTTAAAGTCACACTATAAACAAGCTGATTTGAAGTGAGGAGCACAAAGCAAAATAATCCCATGATGAATTTC